GATTTCGAGGGCAGCTAAAGGTCCCTCCTCATCAGGAGAAAGAAATACCTAGAAAGAAGAAAATAAAGGAGAAGGAGTCACAGAAACACGTGGTCCTTATCAGCACTGCACGTGGTTATAACTAGATATTTTTTATTTTATTTATTTATTTTTTCATGCTCGATCAGATAGCCTGGCTCAGTAAAAGTAGGCGGCCAGTGCAACTCTGATTTAAAAAAAAAAAAAAAAATCTAGTTATAACCACGTGCAGTACTGATAAGGACCATGTGTTTCTGTGACTCCTTCTCCTTTTTCTTCTTTCTAGGTATTTCTTTCTTCTGATGAGGAGGGACCTTTAGCTGCCCTCGAAATCGATTGAGTGTTTCATTATACCTACGCTAAATACAAGGTTGTTGTTACGATTTTGATTGACACATTCATATATTAGAGGTTACACAACAAATGAAAAATTATATTTAATGTACATAAATTCGCTGTAGTTCTCTACAAAAGGAAAACGGAAGTTGATAGCACTATAAAATGTATGAAATAATCCTCTCCAGGCTTAAGTGCCTCACTTATCTTTATGCTGTTTCCATCCCTAACTTAATAAGTAAACTTCATATTACAAGTGCTCCCAGAAGATGCTATCGAAATTACATTAGGCGTTTTCAAAATTCTTTATATGCCATACTACTTAAAACATATGCCCATATAGGTTTAAAACGTATTGCATTAAAAGACTTACAAATGGAAGAATCTATAATTTAGTTCTCCTTCCGTATTATTAAACTTAAAGAATTATGAAATTCTAAACAGTATTTCACACTGAAAATTACATGAAAAATTTGGCACATACTTAGAGAACTACATTTGGAATTTTTGTAAAATATATCAGCTATGTTTTTTATACACCATATAATGTTAAGTATTTTTTACATAATATGGATCAGATGTATTTTAAATTACACCAATTAGGTATTATTAAAATGCAAACATAAATCACAACTGTGCAATTTTTATAAGCTAATTTTTTCTGTCTTACAGATGACATCACAGTCCATGGAAATAATATAAATAGAGCATTATAGCAATTGCTGTTATGAACAATCAGTTCTTATGAAGATTCATGAACAGTAAGCTTGATCATCAGTTATCCAGAAGTATAAGTATTGCATTAAATCAGATAGATAATCAATGTACAAATTTAATATGTATGTAAATTTATGATGCATTACAATTAATAAACATTTCCAGAAACTGGCTATTTCCCAGGGATCTCATGGTAAGTATTGCTATACCATGAGATTGAATTTGTGGATTATAAATGTCCTAGTCACATAATGGAATACAACCACAAAAATCCATACACTTTCTGATGATAAAATTTTATTCCTTTTTGTTGACTTTTCTTGTCAATGATGTAACACATATCCTATTCACCTCTTTAGTCACTTTTATTATGGTTGTTTAACTTTGATAATCTCCTCCTCAATGCATGGAAGAAAACTCTTCCCTAGCTATGCCAAGGGAAGATTCGAAGAATCTCTCAAACTACTGGCCTATAGTACTTAACAGCTATATTTACAAACTATTTGAAAAAATGGTAAACTACCGTTTAAACAAAAAGAAATCTAGTTCCTGTCTTCTTCGACACAGAAAAGTGTTTTGATGAAGCATGGTGATTGCGACATCCTGCGTGATTTACACGCTTGTGGTTTACGTCGCAACTTGCCATTATTCACAGAATTTTTTGATGGCGAGAACATTTCAAATAGGAATCGGCTCCATGTTTTCACATGTTTTTGTCAAGAAAAGGGCATGCATCAAGTTTTTTTCCCCTTAGTGTTACACTTTTTAGCTTAAAAGTTAATTATGTTTTAAGAGAAATCCCTCCTTTGACTTCAGGATAAGTACATGTTGATGATCTCGAGATAAGTTGTCTAGGCGCAGATACGAAATATGTAGAGAGAGAATTTACAGATCGCTTTTAACATGATCCAGAAATGATCAGACATACATTTATGTTTTCAAAGCAGAAGACCATACGCATACACTTTTGCAAAAAACGTAATCTTCATTCCGAGGCATTTTTAGTTAGGCACAGTCTTCAGTTTTATTTAACACATTGAGGACAGTGTGTACCACCGGTGGCTCACACGCAAATGGTTCATCTGGCGGTGTGTACTACCGGTGGCTCACATCAGCTATAATTTTATAATACAGTTTTATTACATGGAAAAAACTTAATGTGGTTAAAAATAACTTTTTTATTGAAAAACTGAAAAGCTTATTTTTACAGGTAGACTATAATAGACTTAATGTATTTACATATTTATTTGTTTTTGTGGGTTTTTTTACAGATTTTAGACATAGTGGTGGTTCACCTTCCCAAAATCGGCAAAATGTTGCAACCCTTTTTGATTTATTTGCAGCAATGTTTCTACTTCGTCGAGCAGATAAGGGTTTATAACATTCACGGCATCGTTTCCGCGACTTTCTTGTAGTTCCGGAATACTTCTCAAGAAAATGTGTAGTTCTTTTATTGTGGTTCTGTGGTTTCATCCAGGAGCCGATCAATAATATTTTCTCTGAATTTTAAAATATTAAAATGCTCGGTACCCCACCTCTTATGAATACACAATGCATTGACGATTGATGTTGCGCAAATCAGTTCTATGATAAGTTTTCTGTATGACTTAACGGTTTTGCGTAAGGAATTGTAATATGATGCAATTTGATCGGATAGATCAACGCCTTTTTCGCATTATTGTAGTCAAAAATAGAATCAAGTTTTAGTTTACCACTTGTTCCTTCAATCATAGTACAAGTATGATAGTTGCAAATACTTAACATGCAAAATGACCGTTTGTCTGTCCATTTAAAAAATGTAACTCCTTTAGGATTTTCAACACTCACAATGTCACCTCGTTTTTATTTTAGTTTTTCTTCTGCCCGTAGAAATTTTCTATTTACTTTTACAGTACCACCTAAATTCATCGATTTATCAAAAAGTTCTTCAGCTAATGGCACACTTGTATAGTAACTACCTATATACAAAGTGCGTCCCTCAAATAACAATCAATTCATTAATTGCATTACGTCATGTGCATATCCTTTCGTTGTGGAGTTTACATTCTTTCCAGTATAAATTTCAACATTATAGGTATAGCTTACAGTCAAGCACAATTTGTATAATTTAACACCATATTTATGCCGTTTGCCTGAAATGTGTTGGAGAAACAGGAGTCGCCCTCGCCAAGGAACCATGCTTTCATCTACTACAATGTTTTTTCCAGGTTTTTCCCGAGTTTTTGAATGAATCAACGATTTTTTTCAAAATGTTGTGAATTTTTTCCCAAGCGATAATCAATTATAGCTGTTTCATTATTAGAAGAGTGTAAATATTTCAGTATAGTCAAAAAATTATCATGTCTCATAACTTTTTTAATACGTGCGCTTGAATACATCGTATTTTTTTACCAATATAATTTAATTTCTGGCAACCATGCATATTCAACGGTGAGCCCTTTGTTAAATTTCTCAGTGTCATCTGTTATTGGGACCAGATTCAAAAATGCACGTATGTGCATATATACATATGTATGCATACACATATATGCATAAATATATGTATACATTCATCCATGCATACATACATATATTTCTGAATCCAGTCCCGATAATAGAAGAGTACTAATGTCTCTAACTGAGAGCCCCTTGTTCCTTTTTATGGTCTCATTTGGTTTCATTTACATTCAATCAAACGTGCTGTATGTAACATAAAATTTATAAACAGATGATAGAAAATGCTTTTTTGTACTGGAAAATGTCTACTTTAAAGAGAACTGAATTCTAAATGTTATGTAGAAATGCTTCTGGAACCTTCCAGACCAGTGGTTCTCAACCTTTTGAAAAACATGTACCATCTAAACAAAAACTAAAAACCTTTAGTACCACCACTACAAAATACTACTGTCACCACCACTCTTGAACAAGGCTTCAGATCGCATAAATTTACAAGTGTTAGATAAAAAAAAAAAACTCAATCAGGATGTTGGGGGTTTCAATTTTTGAATTTAATAGTTAAAAATACTTTGCTTCTTTGCGTACCACCTATTTTTCTCTTATGTACCACCGGTTGAGAACCCCTGTTCTAGACTAATGGATGTGAGAGAAGAAAAAGTGTGGCAGCTTGTATCATTAATTATTTAGTCTGTAGAACAGTGTTAAAGATAGCCTTTTTTATCTTTGTAATATTTTTTGTAATCTCAGCTGGTGCTGAAGTTATGATAATTAATAATTCATTCATCTATAATAGTAATTAATAATTCATTCATTCATTCCTCTTCTATTATTAATTAATTAAATATAATCTTTTTATGTTTGTAGTATCTTTTGTAATATCTCAACTGGTGACAAAAAAATTTTAAATAAAATGTTATGGAAGTTCTTTTTACGAATATTCTTTTGTTAAATAAGAAAGCACATAATTATTATTTTGAGAACATCACCAGTGGCAGTTACAGATTATAATGCATAATCTTGTATTAACATGATACATTTCAATAGATCAGTTGTATTCAGCTAATGAGAATACTGTCTGGTGTTACCAATTAATAGTTAACTGTGACGGACACACAGAATAAAAACTGATCTAATGTACCAACTGTAACATCACAATGTGTTAGGATGTGCTGTTGTGTAGGCTAATGCCTTTACGTTTATTATATGATAAATAAACGTTGACTACAACTTTTCAAGCTGTTAATTCTGATTCCAACTGATTAACACTCTAAAGACAATAGTGAGATTATTATTATTAATACCAGATTTTTTTCACTACAATCTGAGACACATATACACACCAAAAATAATGGCACTCCTGGTTACCTCTGTAGCAGGCAATAAATAGACTAAATTCAACTAGAATCAGCCTGTGTATGTACCGTGTTATTACACAATGTATGCAAAATACAGGAGCCAAATAAACAGTAAACAGATAAAATTTAACACAGGTATAAATAACTACATTTGATATGAATATTTATTATCACAAAAGAGCGAAAAATAAGACCACAAAGGAACACAAAGGCTCATGGAAATCATGCATGAACTATCTCACAATTAGTTTCTCATTATAATATTAGAAACATCATACACCAAATGGAAATAACAATTTGAAATTTTTTAATCAATAAAATTGCTTACACAACTAGAAATCAACAATTACGAAGAAAGAGTTTGAATTTCTTTTATTATCACCTCATGTAGAACAAAATAAAACATTTTTAATGCTTTGACATATAATTTTAAATATTACAAATTACAATTTTACAGAAAAATGCATTTTGATTTTCAGTAATATACATAACATACACAATTTTAAGTTTATTTTAATTTATACATTTCAACTGAAATTTTTTACTAGAAATAATTTATTTTTAAAAACATTCTACACAGCATAATTTGAAAGTAACTCAAATTAATAAAGATGATGCACTTCGGTAAAATTCAGTTTACTATTTATGAAAGAAAGATGATAAATACATGCAGACTTGCACTATAACAACTTATTATATGATCTGAATAATTTAAATGATTAGCAAATGTATTTTGCAAAAAGTAAATTAAGAAGAAATTTTTATTTTTAAAAGTAGCAAATTTAGACGGTGCAAGTCAATAAAGGTAAGAGTTCTTTCAAAATTTCTGAGACATTAAGACAAATTATATAAAGAACAAGTTCTGGATAAAGACATTGATATTTGTTTCCAAAAAGTAATTTCTGAAGTGCATGACCTAATTCTTCAAAGCAAACAAGCCTAAATAGACCTCCCCCCACAAAAAAAAAAATAATAATAATTAATTAAATACCTCATGCTGGAAGCAATTCTCAGGTTTCATACCATATTTTAAAAACAATTTTAATAAAGGTATTTTTCGAAGTTTTAAATACTTTGCAGCTTTAATCTGATAATCTTGCTGTAGCAAATTTTTTACACCAACCTAAACCGCAATAAACTTTAATGCACATATACTGAACTTTCTATGTACATGTGTATTTAATCTATGCAGGTTCAACAAACAAAATGAGTGAAAACAAATAAAAGCTGGTTAGCCTCTACTTTTATCATTTAAAAATGTACAGCACAATTCATCACATGTCTTAGGTATGCAAAACCAAAAACAAAGCAATATTATAAATTATGGCATAAGAAAATCTTAAAATGTTTAATTTTCTCAACTTCAGCATATAAAACTGAATAACAGATGCACAAATTATTTGAATGACATGTTTGAATGCGAGGCCTGAAAATGTGAATCATAAAGGGAACTATGTAAAGTGATTACATGAGAGTAAAAATTCCATTCATGCAATATGAAGAAATGGATGAAAGATTTTTTCATATTTCCAAAACTAGCAATATAAAGCTACATACTCTACATATTATATCTTTGATAATAGCATCTCCCTTCTTCTTCTATTTTGATAATAGCATCTTCTTCCCTTCTTTTAATCTTAAACAATAACTCATTTTGCAGTGCAATTTCAGGAAAATGTTGAAACTGTCTTGTTTAGTCAAAATATACTAGTTTGCTGAATTGCAGCAACAGGAAAAATGACATATGCCTCGTCTTACAAATATAAACAGTGAATCGTATATATTTCGTGAAGTTATGACAGTCCCATTTAGAACACACATATTAAAGTATGTGTATTCTACACCAGATATGTTCATAATGCACTGGTACTAGAAGTTAAAAGTTATTAACATTAACAGAACAACAGACATTTCAACTAGTGCATGCAAACAGTATAGATGAAAGACATTTAATTATGCAACATATACATGATGCTAATTGCAAGGTTTTTAATTTGGTACAACTTATTCTTTCTAAAATTTTAATGTAAGCTATGCAGCAGCTGATTGATACAGCTCATAAAAAAAGTTTTATTAAATATAATCCATGAAAATAAGACATACACCAGATGATATATGAAAATATATTAAATATAATCCATGAAAAGAAGATTACTTCAGATGCTATATGAAACAATCAAGTTAAATACTTAAAATGCAAAAAAATTCCATCTTCACTAGCAGAATATAATTCAACATATGCTTTGCATAATACATTTTGTTTCAAATAACTGATAACTTTAGAATTCCTGTTTGCTATGAAAGATCAGTTTACTAGCTATGGAAAATTTATGTATGCAGCATAATAAAATATGCCCAAACCAAGCAATCACAGTATATATGAAACAAAAGCTAAGTGTACAGACTACAAAAAAAAAGTTGTAGAAATACATTTCTGCAAAGCTGGAGTAATCATTTGGATAAGCCCCTCATGTAACGCTTGAACAAGAAAAAACAGTTTAATAGTAAATAACAAGAAAGTACTAATGTTTCAAGAATGAATAAAAAAATGCTACTGCAACAACCACACATTTGAACTACTTTTCTGTTGCTATAAAATTACAAGTGTCATCACATCTTTTGGTACCCAAAAGTTTTACACTTCTTTCAATTTATATTTTATACATAGGGAAACATGATAAACATATTTTTATAATCACAGAGTAAAAAGCATGAGAATTTTTAATCATAAGTAGAATGGCTTGAGAAATATGGTTGAAACTATGCAAGTTGTTTGAACAGCAAAACGTGCAAGCACAATATACATGTTAATTGCAGTTCTTATTGTTCATACGTGATCCAACAGATACAATGGCCATACACATAGCAAAATTAGAGCATCTTATACTACAGATGCATGATTCAGCCATTAAACCGAGTAATTTATTATGACCAAACTTTTAGAAACACTATCCAGTGATTCTGAACCATTAAAAATGGCTTGATGTGTACAACCAGAAGCGAAGCATACACTGACAGAACTAAAGGAAGGTTTAGCTTCGAACAGCAGAGAAGACCCTCACAATCCTCCACAGAAAATTAACTTGAGCTTATAACCAAAGCTAATCTTGGAAAATGTCATATTTTTAATTCAGGAAGAAGATGTAAATCAAAATGAGGCAGAAGTCCAAACAGACATGAGGCATAATAGAAATTTTTTCAGAGTGGAAAAAGAGGACACTTGACACAGGATTGTAAATTTTAGAAACATTAAACTAATGATGAGCATGACAATGAAAGGAGAGATACATTTTTAAGTGCTTGACCTTCAGAAAGTTATGATACGTGAGTTAGAGATACTGGAGGTATACAACATATTGCTAAAAGGTACAAGTAGAAGAAGCAAGACACAAGAATTACCACTAGCTATATAGGTGTAGTCCCATCACACTACCTACATAGCTCAGCCTCAATTCCAAGGGAAATCACACTGGAGGAGAGATCTGAAGGTCTTCCCCCTTTTTCTCTACTTCAGAACTGCTTTTGGCTCACCAGAATTTTAAGCGCTTCCATGCCACATTGACAAAAACATCCAGCCTTCTCTGGGATTCAAACATTGGCACAACAATACAGCAGCCAACATCACTAAATACATTACTAACATAAAGTATTGGTTAGGTTAGACGAACTTGAATATGGATCACAAGGGCTATCTCCTAAGAAGCGGAATGCCTTTGCAGAGGCACTTAAGAAAAACTGGCTCATAATCATGTTACACATGAAGAAAACCAACCACACAACCAGCCTTCTTACCTGGGATCAAAACCAAATCAGGTCAAACTATCAGTGTTCAGCACTCTTAACCACTTGGCCATAGTGAGGCCAGAAAATTATTGGTTGAAGATAGTATGAATGTTAAATAAAAGTTTGAGTTTGAAAACAGTTCAACAATAAAAGAATATGGTCATGGCACAATTTCAGTAAAACTGTTGGCATATGGCATTGAGAAAAACAGCTATATTTCAGAATGTCTGCATTCCAGATGCTTCTTGAAATCCATTAAGTCTTTAAGATCTCAGTTCAGAATTTAATATGCCAAGTTAGATGTTAAACCTAAATGCAGTGTTGTTAGAATATGTGATGCGAATTTGTTTAAATTGTTATGCAGAGTAATACAGCCTAAGAGAGTGTGGTTAATATTGCCATAAGGCTCCTTGCTGAAACTGAATTAAGTTAATTGTATTATCTAACTTAAGTATGAGCAACATGTGAAGAGATTAGTTTAGTTGCTACTAAACCAGATACCTCCTCAATTACAAGCTTAAGGATAGAAAAATAATGTATGATGGAATTTCAAGGTTTGAAAGTTTCAAGGTTTTCAAAGTTGTTTCAAGGTTTTGATAAATTACCTAAATCTTAAACCACAGAGGTAAGGGAAATTCTAAATTAGTTAACGAAAATCGAAAACACTTCATGTATTTAGCTAAAGAGAGGAACAATTATAATTTTAAAAAATATTCATGAACAAGATGTTAAAATATAAAAAGTAAATAACAAAGTTTTTCAATCTGCTAGTAAGTGCATCTTCATGAGCTCACCTATCAGTTGTTGCTGATGATGATGCAACATCATCACTAAGAACTGGTTCAGTCTGTGCTAACTCATCCATAATGTTAAGACCAATTTCTTTAGGAACTTCCTGGATGAGACAGTCTATTTGTGTCAGTAGAGTAGAAGTCCTGCACTCCCTATTACATCTTCAGCAAGGCATCATAAAGAAATGAGAAATAATATTCAATAAATAAACACAATAACTATATAATAAAACCCTAATTAAGCAAAACTGTGGAGACAATAGTACATCTGACAAGTACTCAACTCCAGTTTCTTTCAAATGACTAATTAAAATTTTATTATTCAGAAGTAAATACACATTTTATAAGGTTATAAGTAAACAAGCGACTACAGTGCACTTATAGACAATACCTGAGGTCTGTAAGTTGACTTTACTTGTGTTCATTGATGGATTCTGTTGATTAAAGTTTGAGCTGTACTAAAAGTTTTCTTGACAGCAAGAAAATTACCAGAAACAGAAGTACTAAACAGATTGATTAAAATATTAAAAACAATTTGTTATCTCAAGTGAAATTTTGGTAATAGCGATTTTTACCATTTCAGATAGTGGAAGAGAAGTTGCCAAGTACTACTTATTTGAAAGCTGCCATAAAAATATATTTACTTGTAATTAGCAATGCATATTAGTTCTTTTATGTGATTTAAATTAAAATTTAAATTTAAAATGAAAATTTTACACTTTATTTTATGCATTCAAAATATTTTCAAAAAGGATGCATGAAAATATAAACCATTTCTGTTTTCTAAGAGTAAACCTGACCACATAGTATTTGAAATTGCTTTGCCGCAATTAGTTTTAACAAATGGATTTCTACAGTACACTTCCATTTCAAGAACTATATTAATTTGCTGACACATAATATTGATATATCACATTTTTTATCATTTATGCTAAATAGTGCTTGCAAGCAAAATACACTTTCATTTACATTAAGATAAGCATGAAACAGTTAAAATATATTATTTGAAAAAAAAGCAACCAAAAGAAACTCACTATGTGTTTAGGCAAAAGGAACAAAATATTTAGCACTTAACACCATGTCTGTAGATTAAAGATATTTTATGGGATTGTAAGTGCAGACCAAGAACATAAACCCTGCAGAAATTTAATAGTAATTGAAAGGTCTCTTTTTACCTATGGAAGCAGTTTAAAGACAATACAAATGTTAAAATATTTTAGTTTCAAAAACTAGACCTTATGTGAGATTTTATATGCTCTGCTCAGAAACATAATAAACATTGCAGGATATGTCTCAGCAACATGATTCTTTAAAACTTGTGCATATATTTTCAGCTTTAATATGAAATATATTTTTAATATATAAATAGGAGACTAAAAAAATGAAGAACATGAAGAATTCAAACGCTAAAACAACAGATTTAACGAATCAAAAAAAATTATGCAGAATAGTAAAAAACTGCATATGTTTCTTAAACTTTAGACTCATGGTTCAAAACTATGAAACAAATCAAGATAACTAGACTAAAACAATTTTGGTTATTTGATGCTTTTATTCATGTATATATAAAACTTAAATATTTATATGGGCACAATGGAGAAAATTTTCAACAAGAACATTCCTCATGGGAAGGGGGGAATATCCATCCTCACAGAACTAACTGATTTATCACTAAAATCTTGGAAGAGTGTTTGCAAGAATTACTGCTAATGAGACTTGTCATATTAAGTTCCTCAATGCAAATTTTAAATTCAAATTTACCAATTGAAAACTTCTGCACAGGAACCCTTAAAAAGGTTTTAAGTTCTTACATGACCAATGTCATAGTTGAAAAGCCTGTCTTATTTGATTCATGTCAAACTACAGCCACCGGTCTACAACAGCTATGGAAACACAGCTGGGTTAAGCAAAATAAGCACATGCTTAGGGTATTGAGGAAAGAGTGCACCATAGAAAAAGGTACTTAGAGACTCAGGAAATGGGGTTTCATTTTTCATTACCAATTTTATTGTGGCATTTATGGTGCAGCTAAACCAAAACCAAGAGTGAAGGAATGGGAGAACAAATTGGTGTAAGTGCATGTGGGGACACAAAAATCTTTCAAGTCTCTTAAGTGTCAATCTGGAAATACATGGAAGAGATGTAAGTGGAATCTTTTTAAACACTTAAGGATTGCAAGTGTATTATTGTAAAGTGATTACACAGTTTCAGATTACACTAATGTCATCTGTCTTATTATGAAAAGAACCTTGCTTTAGGAATAATAAACAGCCAAAAAAATAGTTTCGATTCTCTTTTACAACATTAGTAATACTTAAAATATTACTTCTAATAACTTAAATTTCAAGTTCTATGTATCTTATATCTTTACTTCATACCTAGAGAGAGCAACAATAAGTAACAGAAATGATCTAACCACAAGCTACATTTTTATAAAGCAATTACTTCTGCATATTTTTTTTAAAATTAAATCATGCACAATAAATACAATAAACATGAACTATTTTTCCAGATAGTTTTAGAGAAATGTAAGCATTTACATGCATTTCACACTTGTTTTTCATCAACTGAGCATAAATTTTAGTCTAGAATATATACTATTTATCAACACCATAAAATAATTGATTTTAAATACACAAATCCTTAGTCTTGATCACTCAATCTAACATTCTTCCACCAGTAAATACTTAAATCATATTTGATATTTTTAGCATTATACTTTCAGAGAATCAGAACATACTCAAATATCTAAGCCCTTTGTTTCATAAATCACTGTGCAGAAATTCCTTCAAATCCAATAACATAGAAACTTTTTCAACATGACAGCCCAAAGTTTTAGATGATCTGAGGTTTTTATGGAGGTTCTTGCCTTACATAACAATAAGTATTATTGATTTCAAAACTGTTATTTAATTATGCTCATAAAATACTGTTAAACTGCTGTCATGGACTAAATTTCACATACTAGTGAATCATAAAGTCCTCAAATTAAGGTCCATATCACTCTGTTCTTACTTAAATATACTTGAACTTTCTAAAGTTACTATTACTGATAAATCATCCCTTAACCTTCAAACTAACTTTAAAGAAACACAAATTCCACCTATTGCTAACTCTACTAGATTTTAGCCCCCCTCCCAAAGTTCATGGATGACAATCTCTTTTGCTTTATTATGTCTAATTCAGGAACTACATCATATTTTTAAGCAAAATATTTTATTAAGAGATTTTCTGTATGACTTTCCCAAAATACTTACATTATTTGAGTTTGTTAATATACAGTATTTCCCAGAATTCAATCACAATTTCTTCTTAACTTCCTTTTAGTAGTGCTAAAATGTCTTGAACACAGATCATCACTTCATGAAGTACAGTCAACTTCTGATAACTTGGTATAATGACCGTGGTTAAATCAAAATCACAGTTATTCTGATGAGAGTTAAGGAAACATGGTGAATAATAAGCCATACTATAATTAACAATTTACATGCATTTCTAAGCAGTTTAATCTCGAGAATAAGTTCAGTTGATTACATAAATTAGTAATCAAAGCTCTCTTTCAAATTGCATGTATTTCCCATTTCTCTTTCTTCTAGCCCCCATTAATATTTCTTCACTTCCCCATTTACATACTGTTCCTTTTTTTCATCTTTCTTAAATAACTCTTGTATTTCAATAGCAGTCGATATGAAACAAAAAACTTTTTTTTTTTTTTTAAAGACTGAGCAATCTACTTCAGTGGACAATATAGAAATGTTTCTATATTTTGGATTATGTGTAACTACATTATGTACAATAGTGAGCAAAAACAATTTCCAATTACTATGACATTATCTGCAATCACTGTTGTTAGCCCACAAATTTTTATTTCCCATCATATTTTTCATCAAGTTTTGTTTTACACTGGTGGACTATGATAGTATTTTTTTTATTCATTCCACTAAGTTAACATTTGTTCTTAGACATGGTGTGGTTAATTTAGAGTATCTTTGCTTTTCCAAATCCATTACTACTGCCCCATCAAAGTACTACCAAATGGAATGCACTGGATTATTTAATCATGGGAAAGCTCCCAACAGCTGTTTATTTATGAGAAAGAGTGTCACTGTGAAGGATATTTTACTGTAAATATGCCTGTATCAAAAAAAAATCGTTTTTGTATGTCTTTGTGCTTCTGAATGCTGATGACGCTCATACTTTTTGATGACATAAAAAATAACTTCACAAAAGATCTTAACCATAATGAATTTGATTGATCCATTAAATTCAGTTTATATATGAACTGAAGGCCTCTTCCTTTCTATAATATTTTAATTACATATAATACATTTAATTTTCGTACTAGAGTTTGTTGAAAACTTATTCTATCTTACTAATTATGCTAATCTTGTTATTCTGCTGAACAAAAAATGGTTTCTTCCCCCCCTTTTTTTTATTCTCTTAAAGTTTATTTCCCGCAATCCTCTCTTTCTGGAAACTTAGTTCATTAAAAGCACATTCTACTGACAGTAATCTTTTTCTGGTCTGATAAAACTTTTTTGTCCTGTAATTATAGCACACATTTTCTTACTAAAATTAGCCATAATAATCTTGCTATCCTATTTTTTTCCCACTACTAGTTAAGAAATCGATGATTCTCCACAACTTAACTAACAAGTTATTTTCTCTTCTATTAATAAATTTTTTGTCCAGCCTTAAAAGATTTTATTTCAGATTTTAATTTTAGGGAATTTTATAATATTCCTTGTCACTGATTAAACATACCAAAACAAAGGCAAACAATATTAAGATTTCATGACAAAGAACATGATTCTTACGTCAGAAAATGGTAATCTGATTAACTTTCCACATCTAATCACTACTGGCCTCTTCACAGTTCTTTCAGTTTTAGTCCTTACAGGAGTATATATATATACACACACACGTAAGGACTAAACATGTAAGTATATAAAGTACACTACATATATAAAGACCTTTTTAAATTTGGCACTTTTGGACTTAAAAAGCCTAATACTTGCACTAGAGCTGCTAAGTAAGAAAATATGAATGTATTTAATAAAACAGTTTTGGAATTACCTTCCTAGGAAAAGAATTTATGAAGATTAATAAAAACAGTGAACTGTAATAAAAGTTTTTTTAAGAAGTGTCTACTGAAAGTAAAAAATTTATTAAAAGTAAAAATTTTATGTTACCAGTAAAAATTGACACAATTATTGTTATTAACTGGAAACTGACTTAACTTTTCAGGGGGGACAGATCAATTTTCCAGATTCATAGTTCAAGTCAAAAACAAAACTTAAGTAAATATTTAAGTAAACATTTCAAAATTACTAATTCAGAAGTGAAATAACAAAAATCAGCATTTATTTTCAAAATTATATATATTTCAACATATTTTGAAAATATAACAGAGAGTTTTATTGTTTGACTTCTGAATTAGTATTTGTTCGGCGTGTTATTGTGTCTTATTTATTTCAAAATTAGTCAAAATCGATCTATAGTTTAAGTCAAGAATAAAATTTAAGTCAATATTTAAATATTCTTGCACAAGACCATTCCTCAATACATTCCCTGCTTCTCATAGTTAATCAATTCAAAAATGAAATAAAAATTAAATAAACATATATAAGCAACTTAATAAGGATACTAAAAAATGCAAGTCTTTGAAATCAACAAAATAAGGGTATAAAAATAAGAAATAAAAATGTAACAGTCTTTGAAATCAACAAAATGGTATACAAAAAATGTCAGAAATGAATTAAATTGTTATTTACATGTTTGATAAATTTAAGCGGACAGCAAAATGGCAGTGTAGTTTGATGCTTGCTGCAAAGGAATGTTACAAGAGTTGTTGTAACTTGGAGAAGAGAGGGTGGCATTGCATAAGCATGGGTGACATATATATATTTTGTAAGATGCTATTTTAGGAAGGTGGGAAAATTACTTTGGATGCAGCCAAACATAAATGTTGTTTAGAAAAGTTATTGCTTCAGCTAAAATGGGCTTTACACAGTATCAAACAAAAGAAATTAATCAATTTCTGGCTAAACGTCTTTGCATAGAAAAGTAGAAAATCTTCACTTGTACCAGGCTACAAACAAGTCTTAAAAATGGAAATCAGCCCATTTTGTTAACAAAAGTAAAGATTCCAGAAGAAATCGGTATTTTACAATAATTACAAAATATACAAATCTTTTTAACTCGTAATCCTCCAACATTAGTCACCAAAATGGTTTGGGGTAATATTATCATATCCCTACCGATAAAAAAGATTATATTGAGTATTTAACAACTGTATTTCACAAATTTAATTTTTTTACAATAAAAATTAAATTTATTGGTCACCTAATTATTTGTTAGAATTTTAATAAGTAGTAGAATTTCATTTTGAATATTGAGTGTATCTGTACAAATATTCTTAATTTGATGTATCTGACTAATTATTGCTTACAAGACACTTTTGGGGAAATGTTTGAAGCCTAATTAATTTATTAGTACTAAAAAAGCTATGAATTTTGTCAAAGAGTTAAAGCAGAGTAAAATTTACTATTTGAAGATCTAGATCAGGGGTTCCCAACCCTATGGCCACCGACACCATGGCACCCACCGATCGTTTAACGTGTGCCTGCCACTATGCAATCACAATAAAATTTCTTTAGTTTTCAATAAAATTATATGTGAATGTCTTCTTATTTTTAATGAAATAGAAATTGCCACAAAGAAAAATGCAACCGATGGCTTTTTGTGATAAATTAGTTTTATTATATACATGTATGCATGTATATGTCGTGATTTGGGAATGTCATGCAAATAATATTGAAGGTTGAAGCATAACTGCAAACATAACAGATCTAGTAAGAAGCAGTCACAGCAGATTGAAATAACATTCCTTTTTTTTTAGTTAAATATTCTGCAGCCACAAACAAACTGGCATACTAATGATGCCTATTCCAGAGTGTAACATTTACATTTTTGATATTGTCATGAAGAAAGCAGCAGTTTAGCTTGGTTCAGGTGCAGAAGTGAAGTTCAATATGTTTAGGGCAAAATCTTAATTTAAAATGGGCTGGTTTCAGTTCTGATACACTTTGTTTGTATAAATAATAAAGCTTTGAAATTAGTATTGCTATTCGAGTTCTAGTCCACAAAACTATTTACATCCCCAGCATTATGCAAAACTCATATGATATGGATTAACTAAAAATGATGCAGTCCAAAAACTTATTATAAGCAATTACCATTTTTATGATAAAAATGGGAAATACCTAAATTAAAATGAAGAATTAGCAGCTAATGCTAATTAATAATTTTGATTTACATATTTGTTATCTAGCATATACATATATGTAAGATAAAAAATGTGTAAATAAAAATTATAATTTGAACTAGTGTGTGGCCCCTTAATTCCCAAATTTTCAAAATCGTAATAACTTTCCTGAACTGCATCATTTCTAAGTTAATCTATGTCACATGGCTTGTGTAATGCTGATGACATAGATAATTCAGAACTTGAACTCAAAATTTTGAGAACTGAAACCTTTCTAACCTAAACTAAAACCTTCTCTTGGTGATCTTCCATATCAGATAACTGTGCACTTTAGCTTCTACCTCTGTTGCTGCTTGGACAATATTTTGCTGTGCTCTCTTCTTATCACATTAATGTCAAAAATGTAAATATCCTGTAAATAGGCATGAATAGAGTGTCAAGTAAATTATGGCCACGAATGTCAATTGAAATGAAAATGAGGATTTAATCTGTCTCGACTGCCAAGTTTGCTGTTCATTACAGATTCAATACTTTAGCATTCTATTCAATCAGAATTCTTACTCTTCAATATTGTTACTTTTTTCTTTACGTTAAGGGGTTCGTGGATTGATTAATGACAACACTTGCTGAAGAATGAAAGCACAATTTATTAGCCAGTATTATTTAACTTTAAGCAATTAAGCAAGTAGAAGGGGGAAACCCCGTGGGGCAGTAAACAAAGGGGCGTCCTCGCCGCTTGCCCTAGGTAATTCAGTTTGAATTAGCAGACCTCTTTGCACAAATAATTTTTAATTACAATTTATAATATCTAGAACAGCAGTCATTTCGTATGACTGCCGGGCTTTCTAGTAAAGTCATATTCTGAAGTTGAAAAAAGCACGCGATTGCGCGTGACGTCATTTTATGTAGAAACGTTTTTAGTAAATGTCAGCATCTGAAATAAATAGCTGCTGTTGTTAGCTTTTCTGTTTCAGATTAGGGTAATTGACATGATACATTATTGCCACGTTAATTCTTTTATTGATATTATGAACAAATATTATAATATCATGTTACAGTCTAGAGAGAAAGCACATTTACAGTCAGCGAAGAATTAGTATAAACACATTGAAACAATCAGCGACACAGCCTACAGGCTATCAGGCTATAACGGTGAAAACAGCTTCATGGAAAAGCACCAGAGTATAGCTCTCGACTCTGCTCGGTTATTCTCGGAACTCTATGTACTGTCGAGACTCTCCACGCTACAACTCGCGATGCACTCGATGAAACACTAGAGTACAGCTCCCGACTTGGTTCCATCGTTCTCGGAACTCAACACACTCTAAGATAAAACTTGACAATGCGCTAACTCATGACACATTAAGAGACTCTCTCAATGCACTGGACGACTAACTCAGCACTAGACCACGAGACAAAACAGCTGAATATAAGTTACTTTTTATTGCAGAATAAGGATTTTTAGGGTTACCACCCCTAATTTTTAGTAGTAGTGATTATTCCTTTAACAAAAAAAGTAACTGAAATAAAATAAGCAAGGTGTATATATATATATATATGGGTGTATAAGTAAAAATTATATGTAAATCAGTTTTGTAATTTAGCAATAGCCTCTTATTTCCTCTTCTTTTTATCTCGGTATTTCCCTTCTATTCTAAAAGTAATAACTTTTCTAGATTGCATTTCGAGGTGAATCTACATCACATAGCTTGCATAATGCTGATGATGTAGTTAATTCAGAACCTAAACTCAAAATTTCAAAAACTGAAACCTTTATAACTTAAGCCAAAATCTTCTTTTAATGAACTTTCTGAGTAGATTAATTGTGCACACTAGTTTCTGCCTCTCTTCCTGTTAAGATTCTATTTTCCTCGCTTTCTTCCTATCATTATCAATAGACATAGCAACATCAGAAAAGTAAATATTCTGGAAATAAGCACGATTAGAGTGCCAAGTTAATTGTGGCCACAAATGTCATTTTAAATTAAAAATGAATATTTAATATAACTCAGCTGCCAAGTTTCCTAATTATTACAGATTCAACATTTTAGCATTCTACACAATCAGAATTCCTTCCTCTTCAATATGGATCTACAGTCTAAGCTATCTATATGCTATGCCATCAACATTGCTACGTCTTTTTCATATGACATATATATGTATATGCATAATTCATTTGAAACGTACAGCAACAACAAGCATAAACAGTTTAAAATAAAATGCGAACTCACTGACGTAAAATATCTAAATCTTTAAACTCCTGCACAGCCTGTTCCATCTCAATGCAGACCTAAGAAGGAAATGAAAGTAATTATGTTTAAAATATTTTAAGACAGTAAAAAGAGGTAAAAATTACATCAAAACGTTAAAAAATTTACACTCTCAAGTACAGAAATATCGATTCACCTGCTAAAGAAATATTGAATCAATAACTTTGCCTAATACAGAATCCACGTTTCCAGTCATCTAACAGAAAAGATTTTTAAAAAAAATCTTAAATCATACAAACATATATTAAGATAAAAAAATTTCAACAACTAAGAAATCATAGATGCTGCCATATTCAGCAACATCAACTTAGAAAGTCCTTCACGAAGGCATCCCTACTCTTTGGGAAATACCCCTAGTGTGCGTCACCACAATCAACTAAACCAAAATAAACCAGTAACATCAGAACTTGTAAGGGGAAATAAGGATAATGCACACAAGATTTTAGTGTGCATTTTCAGTTTTAAAAGTGCTGTATCAAAAAATTTCTAGCCTTGCTAGAAAAAGGATAGCTAAGTAATTATTACTGTTTTCCAATATCAATTTTCTGCTTATAGGACGTTTATACATGCGCAGACCTTTAAATCAGAAAGCATTATATTTGAAAGTTTAAGAGAAAAAGATTCAGATATGAGTATTTCTCATAGTTTTATATTTCATTACACAATTCAATGATTCTTTGGTAATTCGAAATGCACTCAAGCCTGAAATAATATCACATAGAAATTTAGTGACTGCTGACGAATAAAGAAAAATTATCTTTAAATCAGGGCCACTGTTAAGGGAATTGTTAAGGAATATATATTAAATTTAACATCACATATATTATGAACACTAAAAATTTTGTTTGTACTAACAGCTTATCTAGATCTTTACAAATATATGCACATGCAAAAAATTTTAACTTTAACTCGTTTTTAATTTGGTCGTTTCCCCTTTCTGTCTCCTAAAAATAATAGCTGCTTATATTAAACCTCTCTAAACTATTTCAAAATTATTCACTTTCATACGATTTCAAAATTAATCTCTCTCACACAATTTTTATGTAACGCAAATGATGCAGGGACTTAATAACTCTTCAGGCAATCATAATATTAAAATCTGCAAATTGAAATTTAAGGAACCAATAAGAATTAAGCTGAATAAAAATTGAATCAGCCTAATCCAGGCCTTGAAACTGTAATTTGAACATCCTTCCTCCGTATTGCAAGCTTGCTGCTGCTGCACTTTTGTTCTTCAGATATATGGCATCAACGTTAAAAATACTGATGCAACCAATTCAACAACAATTTGTGCAAATTCAGCTACCTCTCTATCAAAATTATTTCACAACTAGCTCTTCATGAATTGACACTCCTCCTAAACATCTAACCCATCTTCAACACTTAAATTATTACATATGTATTCACATTCCACATGCTGACATATGCAAATTATGTGTGACACACACACAGAAGACACACAACACATTTCAAATAACAAAAGCATATCTTGTCTGTACCACAGGATAATATTTAATATAGTTCTGCTTTATTTTACGCTTTAAATTAATACTCAACCATTGTTTCGTCAATGCATTAAAAACAACCTTATACCAAACTTTTTTTTTTTTTTTTTTAATATTGCGATTATTTGCAACATTTTTAATGTTATTGCTCATTTGGCTGAGCACAACTGACTTTTCATGTTTTCCGTTATTATTCCTATTTTTATTTACTGTCTCACAATTCTATGTTAATCACATATTTTTTAACAATCTGCAGTTAATCGATTTCAGTTTATCAGCCACGTTTTTCTAGCGAAATGGATAAAAAGTGAAAGCTGGAGTAATATATCATGCATTTTAACAATAGCTACATATGGCTTTAGAAAGATACTAAATATTTATGTATTATACAGACAGTAAATCCAGAGCGGTCACATTAAATACAGACTTGATCCTTGCTTTCCCCTTGTACGAAATTTCGCCATAGATTGCGCCAAAAGAGTCTCATTTTCCCGCCAGTTTCGTATTACGGTGTAATGTGAAGCGTGATTGATATGAGAAATTACGTGCAAGTAAACTGTATTTTTGCGTTTGAAAAGCTAGAAATTATAAATCGGCTATGATTCATATAAATGAAATGAATATGGGAATGGAAGAAGACTGTCTGGGAAATCTTCCAGTAGTATTTCAAAGATTATCTGAAAACGTTTCATTCAAAATACGTGCTTTGGGCTGGAACCTCATTTTTTAAAGCCATCTTTCAGAAAGCTTTAAATGCCTGCACTTTTGAAAACCAGATTTCATTCAATTTTTTTATTGAGGGGTCGCCCGGAAAAAAAGTCAACAACCAAAGGTAAAATTGAACTTACCCTTGTTCATGTTGACATGATGACGCCTGACATTCCCTATTTCTTCAATGTTGTACAACATAGTTAATGTTATATTACTAAGCATGATATGATAACTTACTAATTGTAATTCAGTCTAAAGTAATAGAACAAGAAATTTTAATTAACGTGTACTTTAACGAGTGAAATGTTTTGCATGAAACGCTATAGGGCGAAGAAGTACTTACGCTCAAACTGTAAACAATCGATTTAAAAGAAAGCTTCCAACCTAAAAATTTGACTTGCATGTAATTTCGGCATTATATTATTTGGCATTTAAATTAATAATGAATTTATATTTAAATTAATTATGTTATGCAGGTAAGTGTATGATAGTTAAACATGATATATATGGATGAGAAATGAAAAATTAGAACATTTATTAAGGTATTTGTAATATATGCTAAGTTCTTTTTAAGAAACTTATTTTTCAGTATATAGCACTCATTTTTTTTTATTAATTAATCAATTTGAACATATATTTTCTATTTTTCCCTGTGTTAGAATTTCAACTTTTTTTTAATTAATCAATTTAAACATACATTTCTTAACTTATTTTTCAATATGCAAGAATTTCAACTCTTTTAATTAATCAATTTAAACATATATTTCTTAACTTTTGTTTCAATATGTAAGAATTTCACCTTTTTTAATTAATAAATTTAAACAAATATTTCTTAACTTATGTTTCAATATGCTAGAATTTCATATTTTTTAATTTATCAATGTAAACATATATTGCAAAATGAAGGTACTTACCCCTAGATGACATTGCTTGTACAATCTTTGTCTTCTTAAATTATGTTATTTATATTTATATAAAAATTTCACTTTTTCACAAGAAAATTTTTATCCAGGTTCTCACAGTTTCACCTTTTCACAAGAATATTTTTATCCAGGTTCTCACAGTTTCATCTTTTCACAAGAAAATTTTTATCTAGTTTCTCACAGTTTTGCAAGAAAAATATGTATCCAGGTTCTCACAGTCAACAAGTTCACAAGAAACTGTGTATATGATAACCAGGGCTAGAAAGGGGGCATATGTCCGTGGGCACATCATCCAAGGAAGGCCAAAATGATGTTACGAATTTTTAGAGTTGAATGTTTTCCATTTTTGGCCAGTAGTCGGGAGGGGCACAAAATCTTCAGTTTTCCCTGGGCGCTGAAAACAGTAACTATGACTCTGCTGATAACTTATAAAATTTCATTTTTTCACAAGAAAAACTGTTATAGATTCATTCCTTGTTAAAATCCAATACTTCGTTTCACTGAACTCCACTCTTATAGATCGAGGCCTGTTCATCAGATCTGAAAAAGAACAATTTTTACAAGCATTTTGCATTTTGAAATTAGAAATGATTCCATTTCCACATCACCTTAAGACTTACACGTACTTAAAAAAAGAAAAATCTTTTCTTCTGCTTTTTGACTATTCATTTTAATTGAAGCATTACCAAATTTTGTAAATTAGAGTTTTTATAATTATATTTAAATCAATTATTTATAAAAAAATATTTATGCGGGTATTATCATATAATTTCGTTTAAAAAATAGGCACTATCTATTTTCACATTACTTGACGTTACATGCAGGTTAAAGTGATTTTTAATTAAATCTAAATTTGATAAAAAAAATAGAAACAGTAAGAAATGTGATTAATGATATTAGTGTGAAACAAAATAGTTACAAATAATCCCAATTTTTAAGCTAGTACGTGTAAGACTAGGAGGTAGGAATCCTGATGCGTTTTTTTTTTACGAGGTTTCGCCAGGAGCCATAATCCTCTAATTTTAATGTGTACACATATATTTTATATTACTTACCATTCAGCACCACATTTTGCAGTTTTCAGCAGTATTACTTGGCAGTTCACTATTTGGAGTTTTTTGTAGAGAAAATATCCATGTTATATATGTTCAGAATACAAGATAAATAAACAAGATTTTAAATTTCATGATCGTCGAGATTTCCTGTGGTGGCAGCAGTTGCTCAGTTCCTTCGCTTTCAGGTGTGGCCCGCATCAGTCGTTTCAACTCGGATGTGTTTCTTGAAAGAAAAACCTGGCTATACCCCCAGGTACTGGGTTTGTCATCCGAGTTGATTTCTCCATCTGCTTCTTCCCTCGTCTAAGTGGCAGCAAAATGTTATTTTTGAAGTCCCTAAACAAAATATCCATATTATGCATATTCAAAATACAAGATAAGTAAACAAGATTTTAAATTTCATGATCGTCGAGATTTCCTGCGGTGGTGGCAGCAGTTGCTCAGTTCCTTCGCTTTCAGGTGTGGCCCGCATCAGTCGTTTCAACTCGGATGTGTTTCTTGAAAGAAAAACCTGGCTATACCCCCAGGCACTGGGTTTGTCATCCGAGTTGATTTCTCCATCTGCTTCTTCCCTCGTCTAAGTGGCAGCAAAATGTTATTTTTGAAGTCCCTAAACAAAATATCCATATTATGCATATTCATAATAAAAGATAACTAAACAAGGTTACGATAATGAAAACATAAGTTAGCGTATATATAAACACTTTTATTAAATGTTTTAATATTTTTTCTAAAAGTGTTCTTTCTGTTGTTTAGTTTTAATCTTTTGTTAACTACATACTCTTTTTAACTAGAAAATAATAATTGAACATAGTACAAAAATACAGAATTACCACAAAAGGGTGGCAAGTTTAAGAAGTTAATAATGTAAGATTGAATCCTTATATTTAAAATAATAAATAAACGGTAAAATTAAAATACTAAACGTAGTATGAAAATACATAATTAAAATAAACAGGCTGGAAACATTAAAAGTAATGAATTCACCTGTATATTTTCTGACTGAAGATTCATTTCTTTCCATGATTCATTTCTCATTTCTGCAATATTCTTTACCTGAAAGGGGTGATAAATTATCCTTAACAATAAAATGTTTTCTGGTAAGAAGTAGGCTGGAAACCTTTAAATTAATCAACTCACCTCTATGTTTGTCAATTTATCTGTCAAAATTAGTTTTCTTCTTTCTTTTATTTATTTTTTTGGATTACCTAATTTGCAATAAAGTTTTTTTTACTGAAAAATAAGTAGGTAAACTTATACTAATAATAACTAAATAAATTTTACAGTTGCTTTTACTGAAGGAGTAGTATTAAAATAAAGTGAAGCACTAATTTGAAACATAAGCTGTGAATGGTTAAAATTTTGTCTTACCTCTGTCATAGTATTTCATGACATTTTGGATCTGCAGCTGTGAAAGAAAGTTTATTTTAATGAAGGAATAACAAAATATATAAAGAATAGCTCTCACGTCAAAATAAAAGTTGAGAATAACTGAAATACACATTTACCTCTTTCTGTAAAAGATATGCAACATTTTCGCAACATTTCCATCCTTTTGTTTTCTGGGCTCTGTTTTTTGGTTGAATTCTAAAAGGAAATAAAAAATAACAATTTCATGTAGTGAAAAACAAAAAGGTATTAAATCAAAATTTGTGGACCATCTGAACATTTACACAAATTATAGTAAACAATTTACTTGTATGCTTTTCTTATCATTTATTCCAGTTTTAAAACTTGGTCTGTGTTCCCTTACTCTGAAAAATAAGCACATAGATTATAATGGTATGTAATTTAATATTTAAATGCAATTTTTGTATGTATATATATGTAAATAAATAAATTATGTCAAAAATAAAGTTATATTTGTTGGTTTTACCCCATTTATCATCATCTTCCTGAATGAATGGTATATCATCATCTTGTCGGGCTGATTTCTTTGGAGGCATCAGGTCCTCAATTCCTTCGCTTTCTGATGTTGGTTCGTCCAACATTTTAAGTTCAAGGCCGACTTTTCCATGGCCTGGATACACAGCTTTAATGTCCTGTAGAAACTGAGCAAGTCTTTCTCCATCATAAGTAAAGGGCTTCAAGCGGAACCGCCTGTAATAATGTACAGCCATGTACTGCGTGCAAATATCATCTGTTCTCTTGCTCTTTATAGACCTCTTAAAAAGTTTGTTTTCACCCTCAAGATCATTTATAGTGTTCTGTTTATCATCGGGATCTACGAATACGCCTGTAAATAAAGGATTAATGAATGTTAAGGATGAAAAAAAAAATGTCACTCATTAAAAAAAAAGACACATATTTACCTTTCTTGTGATTGGTAGTTTTATGTGTTGCTGCCGGAAATAAATTTTCTATCCTTTTATATTGTGGAGCAGAGTCAGTGTATATGAAGGTGGTTTCTGGGTGAACATGACGTTTAATGTAAGGCCACAAATGCCTTTTGCTTTTTCCTTTAACCTTGAAAAATAATCCTTCTTTGTCTTCTCGACAGTAGATGCCTAAAACTACGATGGTCATATTTTTGGTTACCCTGCCGCGGTTGTACTTGCGGCGGGTCAAAAATGTTTCATCAATTAATATAGATTTTCCTTTACCACCTAACATTCTGCTATGATGAGAGGCAAAAATTTCGCATACCTCACGACAATATGATAAAAAGTCAACAATAGTCTCATTTGCAATTACTGGTAATTTTTGCTTTTCCCTCCATAGCTTTAGCTGCTGATTTATGTAGCTGAAACTGTGATCTAGAACAAAGTACACAGTTATGACTAAAGCTTCCCTTATTGGGATTTTTGTACCTTCAAAAAATGTGTTTTCAATGGGGTTAATCATGCCAGAGCAGTTGTTGCGATTTCTCAGGCTGCAGACCCAACGCCATCCCAGCTTTGATTCCTTTCTCTTGTTGCTTCTCATCGGTGCCTGGCACTTGGGGCAAGGTGGTGCCTCATCCTCTCTGGGAAGAAGTCCAGCATCGGTGGCAAACTCGAGTGCAGCTGCCTCTGTATTAATTAAATGCATGTCAGTAATTAAACAGAAATATTTCAGTTTTTCATGCAAAGAAGCCATATTCAAAAAAGTCAGTACAGTGACAGAAATAGTTTAATGAAATTTATTGTTAGAAATTTCAGAAACTTGGCAATTATGCAAAAGTCAAAACTATCAGAAATAAAAAAGTTTAATAAAGATGAAAAGTAATTATAAGTTTAATTAAACAATATTAGTTCATTATAGGAAGATAGAGAAGTGAAAAGTTCAAACTAGAAAGTACTGTTACAAAAAAAAAAAAAAAAAAAAAAAAGGAAAATAAAAATAATAGTAATGATATGTATCTATGAAAACAAAGTATTAAAACAAATTTCAAGTGAAAAATAATATAAAATATTAAAAATGTAATGGATGAAAATAGATTAAAAGTAAACTTAGCTTTGGCAAAGTCCAAACCACGTTTTCACGTAAGTACCGAGGTACTGATTTTTTTCAGTACCTGACAGACAGACAGACAGCTGCACGGGCTTAACCGCGGCAAAATATGATCGCGAAAAATCTTCTTTTTTTAAATTTATTTAAAATATTTTCGAAAAAAAAAAAATATTTTACTTTACAAATAAATGTTTTTCGGTACATATGTTTTTTTAAAACATTTTTAAACAGAGATGAGAGAAGAAGAAGAATAATAGGTATTGTTATTTTTGTGTGCAGATATGCGTGCGTGATGAACTAAAAAATGATTTTGAAGGTTTCGTGGCATATTTATCCTCTCAAAAATATGCAACTTGCTCAACTTTTCGATTTTATTAAATTAAATAAGGCCTATCGTTTTTTTTTTTTTTTTTTTTTTTTTTTTTTTTTTAAGCACTGACAATGAAAGCTGTTATGTTCTATTTTTGCGTTTTTATCCCAAAGCGCGTTAGCCCAGAAGGGCTATTAATTTCGTTTTCGCATTTTGCGTTGAACTGTTTCTACCGAATATTATCGCTGTGTGTTATATTTAAAGATATTTAATAATAAAGAATCAGCATAAATATACGTATGTTTAACGTACATAACATTTATGCAGATACTGTGATAAAACAACGGTACCTACAGCTATGAAATTTTGAATATGTACGTCACCACCCGAATATGGGCATCTGAAAGCTCAAATTTGTAATTTGTTTTATTAACTATTTAACATTTTGTAAAGCATTTATGTGTTTTTGATTAAGAAACTCGACGATTTCTAAGCGAGCAATGGCAACACTGTTCGGCGCAAGACTGTCTATCGGAAATTCTAAAGATATGCTCTTCTTTTAAATGTTTTGTCATATTGCTGCTTAAGAGAGAAGACAGTTCGGATGTACAAAATTTAAAGACCGCATGTCTGTTGATTTTGAAAATTCATTTCCATTGAATTTAACAATTGTTTTCAGTTGGCGAGAGGTATACATCTCTGTTGTACACTATTATTGGTAACCTTTAATTGTTGGTTATTTGTTACATTTTTTTGTCTTTCATATTGCCCTGGCTGCATTGGAAATTTCGTGGTTTTCCTCGTGTGTATACGAGCCAGTACAATTACACTAATGAATCATATCACTTAAATAATGTGAATAATTATAGAATTATTATATAAGTGTAGAATAATTGGGTTGGTTGTTATGTTCACGAGTTGTGTGTAAATGCGTGGCTTTGTGTGATTATGTAATTAATTAATGAAGATTTCAGCAGCGGCCTGGCGGTAAAGTGTGTGAGCACTGGTAGTTCTGTCCGAAGTTCGAATCCCGCTAATGCGCCGGTTGCTTGTTATGTTCACGAGTTGTGTGTAAATGCGTGGCTTTGTGTGATTATGTAATTAATTAATGAAGATTTCAGCAGCGGCCTGGCGGTAAAGTGTGTGAGCACTGGTAGTTCTGTCCGAAGTTCGAATCCCGCTAATGCGCTGGTTGCTTGTTATGTTCACGAGTTGTGTGTAAATGCGTGGCTTTGTGTGATTATGTCATTAATTAATGAAGGGTTCAGCAGCGGCCTGGCGGTAAAGTGTGTGAGCACTGGTGGTAGTTCATCTCATTACACATATACTAGCTACGCATATATACATTATAGACAGTGGTGTAACTAGAATTCTTGGTCCCGTATGCAAAATAATTTCCTAGGTCCCTAAACCAATAAATTTAATGTGCTTAAAAATAAAAATTAAACTAAAGAAAAAAAAATGTGAAAAGTAAAAAAAAAAAAAAAAAAAAAATCAAGGATTCCTGGAGCCAATGTTTTCATGATTTTTATCACATCTGGATTAATTGTTAAAAAATAAAAGCACGTTCTCAGGGAACCATTTGAAAGTTATGTAATATGAAGAAAGAATAAAAAGGAAAATATTTCCCCTTTGCTAACTGGTGAAATGCAAATTTGCTTTAGTCTGGGTATTTGACGTCAGATGATTTTAATTCTGTAATTTAAGACTTTTTGTGTGCGTGCGTGTGAGTGATAGATAATTGATATTGACAGACAAGATAATTGATAAACGTACAGAAAAAATATTACATATTACATCAATAGATAGTACTCTGTGATTTTACTCAACTTACGAACATAATTTATGCAATAATATACAAGTACATTTGTTAAATATAAAACATATTTATCATAAACTTCATAAAGAAAACTATTTGAATATACAATTTTAGTAGAAAATATGTAATATTTTTGCTGTCCTTTTAAAAATCCTTTTGGTACACTAAACTACTTGAATACATCATTTTTATAAAAAAACATGAATGCTAAAGATTTTTCCTGTTTCTTTTTAATTTTCCCTCAGCCCGTACTGCTGTTCTTCTCTAATTCCCCCCCCCTCAATAAGTGTAATTATAACACTGGTGACCGAAATTCATCATAAAGACAAAAATCTTTTTTATTAAAATTTGCGTCTCCTAACCTTCATTTCCGCAAAATTATTTATCAATACCTGGACGTCCATTTTCACAGCCATGTCAACTTCAACGCTCAATAGTGATAGGTTTAACAACCGATCTTGTATCATAGTGTTTCTTAAATATGTTTTTTATTATTGAAAATGACCTCTCGCTCGTGGCTTTGGTTACAGATAATGAATGATAAATACAATATAAGTTAATTGCACTCCCGATTAACTGCTTGTCATGTCATAGTATTTTACCATTGCTAATTTAGCTAAATCCTTAACGGATTTCAAATTTTGGATATCTGTTCTGAAAGTATTTATAAATAATAAAAGTTGTACTTCCAGTACATTAGCAAAGTCTTCTTTATATTTTTTTCTGTATTTTTGAAACATTATTAATAATTTCCGTATTTGTTAACAATGACAAATATTCGTGATTTTCCGCATGTGTAACGTTTATGAAGTATGTTGTGGATGCATATGTTATACCGCTGAACACTGGTAATTCGGTCCAACGTTCAAATCCCGGCTAACGGGCTGGCTGAATGCGTGTTTTCTTGATTTTCCGCATGTGTATGATGTTTGCAGTATCTTCTGGATGCATACGTGAATAAAGCGGGGTGCAGACCGCGCAAAAAACCGGTTTTAACGCAGGTAGTTCGGTCCAAAGTTCGAATCCCTGCTGAGTTTTAGTGTGATTTTACGCATGTGTGACGTGTATGCAGTATCTTCTGGATGCGCACGGGAATAAAGCAGGGGGAACCCGCGCAAAACCGCTGAACCCTGGTAGTTCGGTCCAACTATGGCATAACGGTGATATTTAACATAGGAACTCTTATACACGTCAACAATTAAAAGCGGGCTTCAGCCCGCTAGTTATTAATAATTTCCGTATTTGTTAACAATGACAAATACGGAAATTTAAGTTCCAAAAATGAAAACATCATTGCGATTTTTGTTATTCCAGTCATTCTGTATTTTAACTGAGTATTTAAAATGTCGAGAGCAGCATAAAAAACTGTTACTTTAAAAGACATTTCGGAATTTTCAAGCCTGTTATCCTCACATAACTCATCAATATTTTCTTGTTTTTATTTTCTTCTATTTTTCAAATTTAGTTTCTATGTCCCATTTATTTTATATACAAAAATTTGTATATAAAATTTGTATATTTGTATTTTTGTGAATATACAAGAATTGTATATTCAAAACTCTGCTTCTTTCATAATGTCTTCAAACTTCTTTCTCATATCTTGCATATTAATAGAAACGCTTTTTACATGTTGGTGAGCTCCATTCAAGTCGATTGATTTTCGATTGTCGAGTCGATTGATTGATTGATAGATCCTGCAGATACAGCGCAGGACGTGTTTAAAAAATTTTGTTTTTAATTTTTGGCATTTTGCCAGAAATGTTTAATAATTTGTAGTTAAGCTCATCGACACAACGTATATTTCAAGATGAGAACTCACACTCTGTCACATGGATTTTAAAAGTAGTACACATAAATACTTGTTTTATACTTTCCTAAACAAGTATAACGTTTAGTTAAAATAAAGTTGTATGAAACAAGTTTTGCGTACTTTGCAGCAGAGAAATGCGCAAAACTTCATTTAATGAAAATAGGTTTGTGGTGGATCAAAAAGCAAAAATCAGTTAGGGAAATGCGGATATATTTTAGGAGCATTAATATTTATGATTATTGTTATCTGCTTTATTTGCATCTTGAAAAACTATTAATGTCTCGGAAATTAATGACCTCAGATTTCCAGTTTTTACGCTGCTTATAAATTAAGCAGTATCAATTTTTTTTATCTATCTATCATTAATTTATTAAAGACAAAAATATAAAAAAATAAATATAATGTATGGGAACATATATTAACGGAAGCTATTTATGTCTTAGAAAAGTTATGCAGTGGTTCTGAAATGAAAGATAGTAATGTACAAAGGGATTATATGAGTGAAAATCGCTTCATTTATTATTAAAACGTATTAAATAAATTTTTTAATTTGCGAAAATTATTGAAATATTGTAATAACGGGGGAGAATTCTTTTCTGAAATATTCCATTCGTTTGTGTGGTGAAAATAGCAATGTAATTCGCGTTCTTTCAAATGTTGAAATGCAACTTAAAACTATTAGGTCCAACGCTGCCATTGATATGCTTAATATTTTCAGTAATTAATTTATCGAAATTTACGAAGTAGTATATACTTTTAGTTGTGTGATACCATTTTTATTATCATTATTATATTATTATTGACGGTTTCACGTACTGAATGCTGTAGAAAGTAAATTAAAAGCAAAAGTAAAGTAAATTGTAAAATTTAATTTCAAATAACAATTAGAAAGGCGTTCTTGCCCTCCCGCTTATTAGTGTAAATAACAGAGAAAAAAATCTATCTGCCTTTAACTT